CATCATTAATAAAAAAAAGGAGAACAGTGCTTTTCCTGCCCCGCCATAAGTTTTAATTAATTTGGTACTTAACTATGCTTATGGAGCAAGAAATATTTGAATTAAGACGTGATATAGATGTTGAAAATTTAGGTTAAAAATTTTAAATTAATGATAATTCATAAGTTATGTCAATAAATGAGTTTATATATAATACGATATTATGAGTTTTAATAAAATAAAATAATTAATTATTAAATTATATAGAATTAATTTTTTAATATTTTAAATGACATAACATATATAATTGATTTTATAAAATTTCCTCCCTTTTATTTTTATTCATTTGAATTCCGTTGCTTACTCTGAAAGATAAATGCTATATAAAATCTTTAGTCCTCAACTCTTAGAGCCGCTTGCAAAATTATCCTTGACCTTTAATAACTAGCAATTAGTTATCGATATTTTTAATTTTTAGCTTGAAGTTGTAACTTTCTATTTTATATCAAAACCGTTTTGACTAATTACTGATTTTTGATAGCAATCCCTCAAACAATTATGAAACACAAAAAATACCTAAAAGCATGAAAAGAGGGCTAAGTGGGTTATATTGCAAAGCTTTTAAAGGTCCAGGGTCCAATTGTTTAGTTTTAAAGATTGATATGGCGTACAAGATTATTTATTTTCAAAACACGTTCGTTGATTTTATAGATCCAAAACCTTGGAGAGTGAATTTTGTGTTAAGCAAGATGAAATCACATGCTTATAAATGCCCCATCAGATCATGCCACGTTAATGATTTGGACAATCATAATCTTTTCTTATCAAAAAAGGCAACAAATCTTTGTTATCCTTCCAATTAAGTCCTAAGACAAGGAACAATGAAAATGAACACAACCCATTAATTCCATTCCATGCACCATCTTCCTAATCAAGGACGAAGAAGGGGGGGGGGAAATGAAGTCTTCTATATCTTCTTCCATTGAAAGATGTTCAAAAGAGAGGATTTTGCGTCCTTTTTTCTTATATTTCTTGCACTAACTATTATCTTCCTCGTCTTCATCCTCTATTCTCCAAATCCTTTTAAGGCAATGTCCAAATGTGGTCTTGATCCAATCTTTGTCCTCATAGAACCTCCAAATGGTGCATTTTTCTTCTCCTCCTACTCAACGCCCAATTCCATTCTTCTCAGCAGATAGTGACAACTCTTTTACACTTTCTGTTTTCATTGCCGCATTTGATCAAACACCTAGGATATTGGTTTTCCCGTAGGTAATGAATCTGGTAATGAGGTAGAGAAGCATTGTGACTTGTTTCAGGGTCGTTGGGTTCCAGATCCTAAAGGGCCTCAACACACGAACTCAAGCTGTAGAACCATTCCAGTGTGGTCGAACTGCTTCAAGAATAGAAGAAAAAACACAGATTTTCTGAATTGGAGAGATGGAAACCAGACAAATGTGATCTTCCTAGGTTTGATCCTAAGAGATTTTTTGAATTTTTCAGGCGAAAGAAACTAGCATTTGTTGGTGATTCTGTTGCTAAGAACCACATGGATTCCCTACTCTGTCTCTTATCAAATGCAGGCTCTTTTTTACTCCTGTTTTATGTGCAAAAAAACCAAAAGTTTTTCATGAGGGGAAAAACTTTTTTTTTTGATCGGCAATGAGGGGAAAAACTTAATTACAAAAAAGCTCTCAAACTTTATGATCGATAGCAAAAAAGACCCTAAAAATTGTTCGGTGCCAATTGCACCCCCCTTAACTGGCTGTAAATACTCTTTCCAGTATACATATTGTGTTGCATGTTTTACATTGGTTTTAAGGTTTCAAACACTTTTTCAGGTGGAAACTCCAAGGGAACAGTACAGGGAATCCGATGACGGGAAACAAATATGGTACTTTCCTAACCATGACCTCATTCTCATGGTCCCCCGGACAAAGTTTTTAGTATCCGGTGTGGAGAGAACAATAAATGGTTCGTCATCCAACATTTTTGACCTGCATCTCGACAAGCTTGACCAAGCATGGACCAAAGACATCCCGACAGCCGATTACATCATCTCCTCCGGACACTGGTTCTTCCGCCCAATTTATCTTCGATCACGATGGCGGTAAGGTAATCGGCTGTGTTTATTGTAACGAACCAAGTGAAACTGACCATAGAGTAGCATTTGCTTTAAAGCTTACGTTTCGTTCTGTGTTAAGGCACATAAATACCTGCAACGAATGCAGGGTGAGGGGTACCCTGCTTAGGACATTCTCGCCGGTACATTTCGAGCATGCAGTTTGGAATACCGGTGGAAGCTGCAACAGGACAAGTCCTTTTGGAAAGGAGGGTTTGATTTGGGTGGAATTGAGTGGGAAATGAGAAGCGTGCGGTGAAAGAGGTAGAGAAAGCAAAGAGAGAAGGGCAGGAGAAGTTTGGGATCCTGGACGTTAGTAAGGCAACGATAAAGACACCTGATGGGCATCCTGGAGAATTTCTGGGTAATAAATGGCATGGTTACAATGACTGCCTCCATTGGTGCCTGCCCGGTCCTATTGATGTGTGGAATGATTTTCTAATGCCAGTTTTGAGAAGAGAGGCTCCCTTGGTATAATCAATCTAGAATATTTTAGTATTTTCATATATCAATATTATAATAAGCTTTATTTTTCACTCACCAAATACTTACTAGATTTTTTTTTTTTTTGAGATTTTAAAATTTTAAGTTGATTTTAAAATATTTATTAAAAGTATTTAAATAATTTTATAAATATTTTTACACTTTTTTTCAAGTCGATGTAAAAAATACTTTTTTAATCTTATTTTTCTCCATATTTTTTGAATGAAAAAAAATTTCTTTTCAATTTTCACAATGTGAAATTCATTTTATTAATGTATATATTTGATATGGTATGGGCCTATGGCATATATTCCATGGCATGGTAGATGCTTCAAAAAGGAAAACAATCCTATAAAGCCCAGTATGCGAGGGTTCACGATATCTTGGGCCTGAAATGGGTCCATACTCTTTTTGGGCCATCCAATTCCAAACAGATAATGGATTCATAATCTGATTGGGTCAATATTATCATGCTCTTTCTTAGCAAAGAATTTCTCTTTAATTCGGCCGAAACTAAACCGTTAATAGAATTTATAAGAAATTATTTATTTTTATTAATTTTAAAAAATCAAATTTAGATCAATAAAGTAAAAAAATACTATTATCTATGAAATCACAACTGCTAGAATATTTTTACTTGATTTTGTCCTAAGAAGGAAAGAATGTCGGTAACTGACAATTGAATGTGGAATAGTTTTTGTGACAAGCTTTAACTTTTTACTTTTGAATGGACCCAGCTGAAAATGGGACATATGGTAATAATTAATGGTTCAAATGCGTCACATCAAATTGAAAGGAAACCAAAAAGGGATGTTTAAAGCATATCAACGTGCGACATGATTTAAATTGCGAAACTTTCAAAATGATAGTGAGTTTCTTATCATTTCCCTTTCATGAACAAAGAAAACGCACTAAAATGATGACTTTATTTAAGCCAGGTGATCATGACAAGCACTATTGTTGAAAAGTCAAGCAAAGAGACTTACAAACTAGGGTTTCTTCTTCTTCTTCTTCTTCTTCTTCTTTGTCTTCTTCTCTTTTGAGAATGGTTTACTTCTTCATTTTAGCTAGATCGCTCAAATGAGACGCGCGACCATCAGGTCGCTTTTTGATAGAGTTCACAACGGTGATGGAGCTCGAAACTCAGATCACCTCACCCAAGCACTTAAGACTTGAGGTCAAACCATTGGACTACAAGACTCGATTCGTTAAGTTTTCTTTTGTTGATTAAGGTTAAGTGACTTTGTTTAATAAAAACTAATTACCTAGGTTTATCCAAAAAAAAAAAAAAAAAAACACACACGGCTGATCGCATCTTCCCTAAACACTAATCGTGTGATCAAAATTAACTAAGTTTGATAGACATAAGCATGTGATTTAATTGATCATGTCTGGAACAACATATTCAGCTTCACCAGATACATCTTCATGGCGGCAAACAGAACTACAAATATGAACAAAAGAAAAAAGAAAATTCCTTTGACTTCCCATAAGTTTATAGAACGTGCATAGGTGTTTGTTTTCTTCAGCCCTTCCGGCGAGATACGTGTCCTTCGTCAGTGGGAGGGAAAATTTGAGACACAAACAAAAACCGCGTCCCAATTGGATCTGTACTAAAGACAAAATCTCACAAGGAGTTAATATTACTTTTAATCCTCAACGTATAGGAATCATTGCAAAATCGTCCTCAACAAGAAAAAAGAGCAGTTAGGTTCTTAACCTTAGAAAACTTTGCAATGAGACTATATATATGGTAGCATTTTCTGTATATTATTTCTATGAAGCTTAGAGTTTTTATACCATATAGAAAAAGTTAAAGCATTGAAAAGAGAGAAGGGAAAACTAAAAGAACAATATATTGAAATATTATTGAATGATATAAAACTATTATATAAGAAGTTTTTATATAAAGGTTTAGATAAGTTACTAACAAATCAACCTTAAATCAACTATAATAATAATAATATCAAATTTAAGATTTTTTCTCATAATTATATGAATAATATTTTCTAATATTTCTATTACACAAATAGATTTATAAATGGTTGTAAATAAACGAATATATTTGTGGATTAATTGATGACAGGATTTTTTGACAATTATGGACAAACAATTAGATTCATAGGCATGGATGGATGACAAATGGTGGATGGACAATTGTGGACGCAAGTACAAACAGATTGATGGATGGACAATTGTGGACGCAAGTACAAACAGATTGATGGATGGACGGATGGATAAATAGATGAATAGGCAAAGGGACAAATTTGTAAACTTTGATGAATGATCGATGTGGATAGGTAAATTTGTGCGAGTGGATGAACAAATACGAATTGATTTATAGATGAATTTATGGATTGTTATGGACAGATAGATAGATTTGTATGAATAGAAAGATGAAATTGTGGATGAATTTATAAACAAATTTATAGACAAATTTATAGATAAATTTATGAGTAGAAAAATTTTTAGACAAAAGAACTAATTTATAGACAAATGGATATTATATGAACTAACAAATGGATTTGTGAATATGGACAAATGGCAAATGTTGTTAAACAAGTTTATGGATGAATAAGTGAACATATTTGTGGAAGTGGACAAACAAATATAAATGGATTTATGGACATAACAGATGGCGTATGGTAGACATGGGAAAATTGTAGACAAATGGAAGGATAGATTTATGGACTTGGGCAGCTGGATGGATGGATTTATGAATAGTTGTGGATTTGGATGAACGAGTGAATAGATTTATGAACAAATTTATGGATGAATAAACAATGAATAAATTTATAGACAAACAAATATCATAAGGATGGATAGATTTGTGGATAGACATACATGTATGGACAAATATAGATGGGAATGGATGGGTTTGTGGACGGACGAACAGACAAGGAATTAAGGAAACATGCTATAAAAAAACTGATGGACTAAAAGGATTATATTGCAAACTTCTTAAAAATTAAGGACGCAATTGCTCTGTTTTGAAGATTGAGGATTAAAAAAATAATATTGCACTATTTCAAAACATTCATTTTATATTTGCAAATTTCGAAACACAGATGGAAGGGAATTGCGCCGTGAATTCTGGGTGCAAAGTGATGGCCACCGAACGCAATCACATGCACTATTGCACCATAAGATCTTGCCACGCTGTCAATCAGACGCTTAGAATCTTCCCTCGCTAAAATGACACGACCTTTTTGACCCTCCTATCACAAGAACACAACTGCCCATTAATCCCACTATGTTCTTAATCTAACAATTTCTACAGACCATCACAAATCCAATTTCCTCCGTTCATTCTTCCGTTTTTCAAAGGCAAGGAGATCTCTTCTTTTTCTCACAATTACAAACCCCCTTTGCTTTTTCTCCTATATTTTCATTTTTTGTACTTGAAGGAAGAAAAGCAAGGAAAAAGATGAAGTCTTCTTCCTCTGAGAAATGTCTGAACATGGGGATGGTGTCTCCTTTTTTCTTATCTTCTCTTTTTCTAACATTCATCTTCTTCCTCTTCATCCTCTATTCTCCAGACCCTTTAAAGGTTATGTCCAAACATAACCTTGATCAAAAAAACCTTGTCCTCGTCAAACCTCCACATGGTACCCGAATTCCCTGCTTTTTCACCCGACAGTGACACAATTGTTTTACCCTCTTGTTTTCTTTTGCGCATTTCATCAAACACATGGGAATCTGATTTTTCTGGATATTGTTTTTTACCTCATTTTGTAGGTGATGAGGTGGAGAAGGACTGTGACTTGTTTCATGGTCGGTGGGTACCGGACCTTGGAGGGTCCCAATACACTAATTGGAGCTGCAGAACAATTCCGGAGTCCAAGAACTGTTTCATGCATGGAAGACAAGACAGAGATTTTCTGAATTGGAGATGGAAACCAGACAAGTGTGATCTTCCTAGGTTTGATCCCAAGACATTCTTGGAATTTGTCCGAGGAAAGAAACTTGCATTCGTTGGTGACTCGGTTGCCAGGAACCATATGGAGTCCCTGCTCTGTCTCTTGTCAAATGTAAGTTTTTTTCAACTCCTCTGTTTCTTGAACTCAAAAATTAGAAAAAATTTCACTGTTTTTTGTTTGGTGAAATATCCTTTGCGTGTACCTAATGAGGCTTTGATTCCTCTTCCATATATAAAATGGAAAGTTAGAATCAAAGACATAAAGGCATTACTTGGAATGATACTGCTAGTTGGCATTACCATGTCATTATGCTAATTTTTGGACTAAAAATTTAATGTGGGGTTATTAGTATTAATGCCCTAAAGTCTGTCATTGATTCTCAATTGATTTGGAATGCAACAAAAACAAATTAAAACGTGAAACTGCCAAAAAGAAGGGTAGTTTGAGTAGCATTCAAATTTGGCCAGATTTCATGGATGCCCAAAGAATTAAGGCAATGATAGATAGGTCCCCATATTACTTGCCGAAATTGCTCTTTCATACTTGAATCAAATTATAGTACTGAATTAAGTTGTTTTGAACTACAAATCTTTCAGGTGGAAACTCCTAGGGACCAGTACAAAGATTCCGATGATCGGAAACGGATATGGTACTTCCCGAACCACGACTTCACTCTCATGATCCTCTGGACAAAATTCCTTGTATCCGGGGAGGAGAGAGTGATCAATGGTACATCATCTGGTATTTTTGACCTGCATCTTGACAAGGTAGATGAAGAATGGACCAGAGATATCCCAAGTGTCGACTACATCATCATCTCAGATGCACACTGGTTCTTCCGGCCGATTTACTTGCATGATGGTGGTGAGGTAGTTGGATGTGTCTATTGTAACGAGCCAAATGTCACTGACCATGGCGTTGCATTTGCCCTGAGGTTGGCACTTCGTTCTGCGTTAAGATACATAAACCGCTGCAAGAAGTGCAGGGCCAGGGTTACCCTGATAAGGACGTTCTCGCCAGCCCATTTCGAGCAAGGGGCTTGGAACACTGGTGGGCGTTGCAACAGGACGACTCCCTTTGGTGAGGAGGAGATTAACTTGGGTGGCAATGAGTGGGAAATGAGAAGCATGCAGGTGGAAGAGGTTGAGAAAGCAAGAAAAGGTGGTCAGAAGAGAGGGAATATGTTTGGGATTCTGGATGTCACCAAGGCAATGCTGATGAGATCTGATGGGCATCCTGGAGAATTCTGGGGGAACAAATGGATGAAGGGGTACAATGACTGTGTTCATTGGTGCCTGCCGGGTCCGATTGACATATGGAATGATTTTCTCATGGCAGTCCTGAGAAGAGAGGCTGCATTAATCCCCAGGTAGAAGGGCAGCTTAAGCACGTTAGATACATAGAATCATATACCATAGAGAGTTTGGAGTTATATTTTAATATGCATCTTCAGAGTTTTTGCCTCCGAGCAAATGCGTTCTATAGTAGACTGATGGAAATTCTTTTGATTGATTAATAAGAATCAATATACTAAAATTCTTCGCATATTACCCCTTATCAAGATGACACCATAAGAAACATACCCAAATTGTATATTCAGAAATTGTAAATCAAGTCCTTGATACATCTTACAATTCTAGTAGAGGCTACACTGCTGCCTTGATCAAAGATATGTTCAATTCAAAAAGAACAGCCCGAACAAAACAGAAGAAAAAGAAAAGCACTACGATTCAAAAGGGGAAAGCTGAACATATCAAACTAAGTTGAATCTTGGTGGGCTGATCCAAAAAAAAAAAGGTGTATCTTAGTGATTCATATGCTTACATGCCGTGCCGGTGCTCCTTCGGTAGTTACCGCAAGCATAATCATAATGCACCGAATCAAATAAAGCATATCACTCGCAATACTTCAGATTTCAAAAAAAAAAAGGGTGTGAATTTATATTCATGCCTACATGGTTCACGCCTTTGTTGTGAGCATGTTTAATAAAAATAGATTACACAGCTAGAAACAAGTGGTCAGAAAAATTCAAGGAAATGGAAGAAAACCATGCATAAAATAAAAGACACAATAGAGGTAAGCTAACAAAGACTGAGGCTCCTACAAGACACAATTCCTATTAGGTGTTCCAGAATTCCAAGGAAATCCATGGAAATAGAAGGAACTAAACACAAAAGACACGACAGAGTAAATAAATTAACAAAGACTGAAGAAGTTCCTGCAAGAACAATTATCAAAATACATAACAGAATTCAAAGTTATGATCAGGAATCCATGAAAAACACAGTATTTCTTGACTAGTATGACACGGCTGTGAAGGACACTAGCTTTTTGAAGAACAATGTTGGGAGCCTGTGCACACAAGTCTTAGTCTTGCAGGTCAGATTTCTATTGTTATAAACACTATGAATGCATCTCAAACCTGATTCCTTGATGGTAAATATCTGATCTTTAATGGTCACAAATTCATGATTAGAAATGTGAACGTCATGATTTGTAATGATAACAAACAGAATAAATATGGATGTTGTCAACACTCCAAAGTTTAATATTTTATGCTATGCTCAAGAAAGCAAGCAGAGGATGCAGCTTGTGAAATCTGCCATACACCAAATGTTAACATCTAAAGGAAAAACCTGAAGTAATCCAGAGTTCCAGATCAATAAAGAAAAAATTTGCACTTTACATACAAATAAGCAAGAAGATTTCAAACAAAATTAGCCGTGAATTAGAGCCAGGTAGATGAACAGAGTGCCAAAAAGTAAGCACCTTCAAGATGATGGAACTGAAGTATATGATTGGAAAGCCAAAAACAAATTGGAAAGAAAGGAAGTATCAATTTGACCACCGAAGAATGTAGAGCTCTTGGAAAACATACAAACTATGGGATAAAAGCTCACTATGGAGTTCAATTATATTGACAAAAATGTAATAATACAAAGTAGAATTTAGAAAATGTCATGAAAAGAGTGCATCACATAACTTAAGACTGCTGGATAACAAAATCAAGTTGCATCCACTAAGAAGTCACAAATAACAATTTCCTGAGAAACTTAAAAAGATAGGCTGCACTCTGCAGGTTGGCAACTGAAACCCTACTACACTTATGGGGCAATTGTTACAGTGCTCTGTAAAAGCAGTGGACATTCAAACCTAATAACTATTAACTAAAGGGTTTGATCAAATGCAAAATACGTTTCTTATTTAATACTGAAGCTGGTAACAATCACAAGATGAAAATTTCAAATGTATCATCAATAAACCTCAGAAAAGAAAAAAAAAAAAATGTCTGCATGCAAGAGAAGGTACAACAGCAAGCAGCAACTAAATTTGAAAGAAATATTAAGCTGCAGCTAAAATCCATAGTTGATCTAAACCTACGCTAGCACCAAGCAAGGAGGACATTCGAAACTATAAAGTTACATAGTAAAGATCCCCAAACCTCAAGCTTCCATTGTGTTACCAAGCATAAACGAGAAATGCTCGCGAACAGGGGAGAATTCCACCAATCCAATGTCCATTGCATACCCATTAACCGGCAATTTTAGGTCCCTCAACACGCAAAAAGCCTCTGCCATTCGAGTCTTTGGTACTTCCTCAGCAACAGAGCAATAGGGAATCCAAGAATCCGCTTTGTACTCATCCCCAATTTCAATTCCTTCCTTCCTCATGGCATCACACAGCTGAGACTGAAACTGTAGAAGCGACAATGTCGGTGCAGGTGCAAGAAAGAGGACATTTTTGTCACTGGAAAAGGTCCCAATTGCAGAGAAAGACAAGGGCAACGGCTCCTGCTTTGAAGCAAAATTCTTGATGATAGACTCAAGTTTGGTAGGCTCAATAAAAGGGCTCGAAAAGAGGGTAAGGTGGGGTCTCGATTCGATTTCCATCAATTGGGTACTGATTTGACGCCGAGCAAGAACGTTCCATGCTTTCAAGACCTGGTTCTCGAGCGCTGGATCGAAGTAGAGCTCAACTGCGTAGCCCTGTGACATCGAATTTGGCTGAAAGATGGACAATTTCGAAAATCGAAGAGCACCCACCAATTAGAAACAAGATCTGAGAGTGCCCAGAAGACAAAAACTTGAAATTGAATTTGGATCGAACTGACGGGAAAATCAAAACCCTAGAGAATACAATGAGAGAACACGAGAAAGGGACAATACCCAGTTGAGGTTAGACGTGAATAAGGCTAAAAAAGAACTTGACAAATGTGGGAACAAAACTTGAACGAAATTGAAATCAGCGATTTCGGTAAAGAGAAATGGAAAGCGAGATTAGAGGGGGAAAAGAAAGCCCATGTGAAACAGGAAATGGAGATTGGGGAATCTTCAATGGGTAAGAGAGTGAGGAAATAAAGAAGAAAACATCAAAATGCTCTGTTTGGGCAGACTGCAGAGAGCAAAGAGAGACTCTGTTGCTCAGAGCCTCAGAGAGTTCTGATTTCCTTCGGCAATTACATTGAAAAATCAGACAGTTATCATCAGCCGTCATCCTGCCTTTGCATCAATTTTATTTACTATTTTTTTTCTACTTTTACAATTGAGTAATAATAATAATAATAATAATAATAATAATAATAATAATAATAATAATAATAATAAAAGTATTTTTTATTACAAATTAGATTTTGAATCGGATCCTGTTGTCCAATGATTCGCTCTCAAACCTTAGTGTTTGGGTGAGATGGTGGTTGGAGCTTCGAGTTCCATTATTGTTGTGAACTCCACCAAAATACGACCTAATAGTCGCGCGCTCATTTGAGGGGGTGAAATATTCATTCAGTCTGAGAACCAGCTGCTAACAATTAATTCACTAACTTTTTAACCATTACCCTTATAAAAGAAAAAACAAATTAGATTTTATTTTTATACAATATTAAAATTATTATAATATTTTAAATAAAAATACACTTTATATTTATTTATTAATAATATTTTGATAATTTTAATATTAAAATTATATAAAAAAATATTTTATATTAAAAATATTTTTTAATAATAATAAAAATTATATAAAAAATAATAATACTAATAAAAACTATAGTCATGTTATTGTTGTTATTAATATTAATTTTTGAAATAAAAATAATACTAAAAAATATTAAGTAAAATGGTAAAAAGGTATAATGCAAATTAAGCATACTAAATCATTAAATGAAACATTAACTCGATAACAAGTCAAAAGAAGTTAGGCTTCGAACCATCTTTTTCATACATAAGTACTCAATAATGCATACTTTGCAAACAATTCAACAATAATGTTATTTGTTTTGAAAGGTTATAAATTCCAATCCTTCCATTCTCCAAATGTAAGTATGTGAATGATTCTTACAAGTAACAAGAGTGAGAAAATGCTACATTGGCCTTGTAATGTTTAATATTAGTGTGATAGGAAAAAAAATTTTTGCACTGAAACCAAGTTCTGCTATGGTACCATATCCTATTGTAAGTAGACTTTTTTTAATTTTTGTTATTACATGCCCAGCAAGAAGCATACATGAGTGAAACACCCACAACAGCCCGGTAACTACAGTAATAGTACACTTTTTGTTTCATAATAATATATATTTTTAATTTAAAATTTATTTTAAAATAATATATAATTATTTTTTATTTTAAAAAAGAAATATTTTTTAAATTTTAATTATTAAAGATAAAATAAATAAAAATAAAAATAAAAATAATCTCTAAATTATTAATTTAGAGATAAAATAAAAAAAACATTTATTATTATAAGAGGAAAAAGTAGTAGTCTTCGCAGTTAAAACATAATCCCACTCACATACAAGTTCAAGAGGTAAATATATAAGACTTTATTTCAGAACATAATTGATGTATAACAGGAAGCAAAGGTTAGGATAGAACTTAGAAGAAACAGGGGCAAGGGTGGGAAGAAAATAATAGAATTAGGAAAAGATAACTTCAATTCAATTTATAAATTCTCACACTAAATAACCCTAATACAATTCATGTTTAAATAGAAATTCTAAAAACTTAAATTGTACTTATTTTCTTATTAGACTCTCAATAAAACTTTTATTAAAAGATAATAACATATCCTAATAAATACTTAGAAATTACAAGTAAATATTTTAATTTAATCCCTATATATTTTTAATCATAATAAAATCTTAATAAATACATTTATTTCCTTCCTCTTTTTTTTTTTTTTTTTCTTTTTGATGCACTTATTTCCTTCCTTCTTTGCATCAATAACATTGTAGAATGCTAAATAGCTTTAACTGGGAATCCGGAGATAAAGAGGAATGGGGTTATGACGCTGTGGAGGAGAATCCCAGACAGAAAATGCACTTGAAGAGTTCATCCATTTCTTTGTAATTTCCGGGTAGTGTCGATCCAACACATTTTTCAGGCTCTCTGTTGTGTTCACCCATTCAAGTCCCTTCTTTGTGTATGTCTCTTCATTGAAATCTTTTGTAAAGAACCTGTCTGCCTCTAGCCTCCTGCAACCATGAACATCGAAATGTCATCATTTAGGGTGGGAAAAAAAACCTATTACCTTGAGACGGAACGATTTATTCTTGTTTCTTTGTTATATACCTCGTTGCCATGAGAAGGAATATGATAAATGCCGTCTCACTTATGGCAAATCCCTTGATTTTCTTCTCTGCCATGAGGCCAACTAGTATATCAAGCTCTTCCACATTGTTTCCATACACTTCATAAAGTGTTTTAATGGCTTGCTTATCATCTGTTAGATCTTCCCATTTGGAGATTGGTATTAGCAGCAAAGCCCTCCGGAACTGATTGTATCTAGCAACTTTTCTCTCCCTGTCCCTGTAAACTGAGTAAAGAGTAAATTGTGTTAGTGAATAAAAGTTATTCTCACTTTCTCAAAGATCCAATACAGAGTAAAACACATATTCCATGTAATGCAAGATATAATTACCTTCAAGAGCTGCTAAGTCAACATGGTCAGGCCTGTCTTTACCATCAACATCTTGTGGAATAAGGTCCCTGAGCCACCAAGGATAGTTCCATAATTGCAGGGCACCACAAGCTTGATGCCCCATCGAGACCACCTGCTTGGTGAATCCAATTTCTGATAAAGTCTTCTCTCCTTTGTGTCCTATCAAATTCGGCATAGGCATCCTGCATTTTGCACAAAAACAAATTCGCAGAATAAACATATTATATATATACATGTTTTCACCCCAAAACAGCATGATTGAATGTGAAGAACGCATACTTCTCCTTCAAAGGTGGGGATTTGTTGGGTCCTGGTGCAGCATTAATGTCCCTGAGTTGAAGGTAATCTGGTAAGAGAGAATGCATCCGGTAAACACTGACAAATTCCTCAGTCAATGAATAAGGGACACCATGATTTTCCGGCTTCCTCTGTCCAACCAGGCCACTCAAAATTGCTCCTCCAACATGCCCAAAAGTGTCCTTGAATTTCTTTCCCAGCAGTCCATACCTTCGACAAATTAATTTCATCAGCATACAGCGTTGAAATTTATATGTTTTAATTATCAACTTCTCTCTAGTGAAACCAGGGAAGGTTACCAGTTTGCTCGCATTCCCGCAAGCATTGTGTCAGTTTTGAGCAGCTCCACCGTCCAATCAATGGTATGAATCTTTGCAATCACAGCAGAGGTTACTAGCCTTCCGTAGCGGTACAACTCTTCATCATCCAGATCTCTATACTCCTTCTGAAGCATATTCACAAACACATGGTAGTCAGAAGAAATTATGGTCAAATTATAAATATTTTGAGCTCTGAAACATACAAGCAAACCAAACCTTGAGGGCATCACAAACTGCATTATGCTCTTTGACAAAGAGGGCCTGCAAAGTGGAGACACCAGCCCAATTGTTTCTAATGTCTCCTGAAATTGCATTTCCATCTTGGTCATGAGGAAGAAGGCCATTCTGTTCAATCTTGAGCTTCCCATCTTTGTAAGTCCTAATCCTGTGCAACGTTTCTGCATTGCTCCCATATATGACACTTCCATCCCTAAATTTGCAGGGTATGTATGCCTTAGAAAACAAGTTTCTTATGTTCTTAAGATGTCCTTAAGATGATTTTCAGGGTACATATTCTTACCACCATGGTGTCCTTCTGTTCCTCATACCACTCTTGATCTCATAAGAACCCGTTGGGAACTCCTTTGTCTTGTAGAACTTGAAGGAACTTAGAGGACATTGGTTTGCAACAGCTCCTGGAGCTATCAGCTCAATCTGTATTAAATAAAAATCAACTAAAGCTGGATTAAACCTGCATCCAACTGGATTAAAATTTAAAATTTTGAGGTTTCAACGAATTGCTTAAGCTAAATTTGTTTGGTTTCAAGGAAATGAAGAGAATGACAGTTTGTTTCATTACGACACATTAATTAATCATTGGCTCGACATGAAATTTATAAATTTAATTTCACTGATAATGAATTTTTATTGACCTGCTCGGTATCTTCAAGGTGATCGACCCAGTCATGAATCATAAACTGAATCCAGGAAGCAGCAATCATGTTGAATTGTTTTCCTGTGTCTGCAAATTCTTTTCGTCCCAGGAGTTTAGTGGCCACAAGCATTGGGTCTGGTTTCATTAGCTGCACACAAATTCCAACATTAATATTGAATTTGAATCACCAACTCGTTTTAACTTAGTACGTATGATTAGGGACCAAGATAATTCAACCCTGTTAACTCAAACCAACTTGATTTACTCGTTTTGCATTTTTATTCAGCACTTAAATTTAACTTTTAATTTAATCAACAACTTCAATAATTTAATAATTTTTTTTTCATAAAAATTAAAAATTTTAATTTTAAATTACATGACATGGATAAATGATAATCTCCTATAAAATAATTAAAAAAAACCTCCCATTGAA